CTTATATCTCTTGGCCTCTTCTTGACACTTTTATCTCCTTATCTCTCTGTGTGGCATTTTGGATAGCTTCTAATCTATCCCTATACCTGTCTCTAAGTTCCTGTTTTAACCTATCCATTGTATTAGTTTTTAATAAATAGACTTTTTTTGGGAGCAGTTTAAGGTCTACAGAAAAAATTGAGCAGAAAATACAGAATTCCCATGTAAGCTCTTACCCCCCTATCTTCCCCCTCCCCCAGATTCCTCTACTATTAATAATCTTACATTTAGTGGTACTTTGTTACAATTTGATGAGCCAGTGTCAATACATTATTATTAACTAAAGTCCATGGTTTACATTAAGGTTCACTCCTTGTGCTGTACATTCTATAGATTTTAATGAACATATAATATGTATAATGAACATATGTATTAGTTTGTTAGAACTGCCATACAAATACCACAGACTCGGTTAAACAACAGAAAATTGTTTTTTCCCAGTTCTAGGGGCTAGAAGGTCAAGCAAGATCATATGGTTGCCGGGGTCGGTTTCGTCTTGTAGATGGGCACCTTCTTTGTGTGTCTTTGCATGCTTTTCCCCTCAGTATGTGTCTGTGTCCTAATCTGTTATTATAAGGACATATTAGATTAAGGTCCATCCTGATGACCTCACTTGAACTTAATTACCCCTTAAAACCCTGTCACCAAATACATGCCATGCTCTGAGGTGCTGGAGGCTGGGACTTCAACATAATTGAATTTGGTAGGGGAGACACGATTTAGCTCATAACAAGATGTATCGGCCATTACAGAATCCTAGGAAATAGTTTCTCTGCTATAAAAATTCCTTTTCCTACCTAGTCATATCTCCCTCCCCCATGAACCTCTGGCAACCACTGATCCTTTTCCTCTCTCCATAGTTTTACCAGAATGTCATAGCTGGAATCAGTCATTATGTAGCATTTTCATATTGGCATCTTCAGTTAGCAGTATGCATTTGTTTCCTCCTTGTCTTTCTGTGGCTTAATAACACATTTCTTCTTATCCCTGAATATCCATTGATTTTGTATTTCAACAATGATATTTTTAATTACTAAAAGTTCTATTTTTGTGCCTTTACAGATTTGCTTATTTTGTGTGTTGTTGAATGCCCATTTTTGTGATCCCATGTGTTATTTCTTTACATGTTCATACATAGTTATTTTTGTATTCTGTGGCTGATAATTCTAGTATCTGAAGTTCTTAGGGCTCTAATTCTATTTGTTCTTCTATAGACTCTTGCTTGTGCTGACTTTTTTTTATTACACATTTAGGTAGCTATAACTGTGAGTTCATAATTATTGCTCACCATTGGCTCTCCCGAAGACCTAAAGTGGGGAATGTTTTTCTCTAGAAAGGTTTGGCATTTGAATAATCTGGAAACTGGGGAGTTCTATTGACATGGAATCATTATAGTCTCTGACAGTGGAGTCTCAGGTTTGTTTCTCCCATTTTGCCACATATAATGGACGTTTGCTTTCAGGTCTGCCTTATCTTTCAGTTGTTACTCACTGTTCCTCGTCTGGTTTTAGTTTACGTTGTGTTTGTGTTTATTACTGTGAGTACATTTTGAAAGTCCTTTTTATCTAGGATTTCATTGATTGTCTTGTCTGGCATTGTGCCAAAGCAGGATTAAGTTGCCTGAGTTTAGGTATTGACAAGTAGAATGATGGGGATTACATTAGGTACCTTCTAATTCTTCTGAGCACCCTCTCAATTTCACTATTACTTAATCATTCACTCTTCAGGATTAGACTTAGTGCCCTAGGCAAGTGACACATTTTCTCTTGGCCAGCAGCCCATGCTTTTGGGAATAAAAAAGGATGATGATTAGTTTAGATTCTGTCCCCATGTGCTCATTTTAATGAGCTATTTATTTTTCTGTGTTAACACTGATGGAAATTTGAATTTAGTTCTGGGAAAGAAGGGCCTGGGAAATAGTATAGTAAATGAAAATCATAAAGTTGAAGGTTAAATCCCAGCTTGGCCATTTACCAACTATGTGTCCTGGTACAGGTTATGTAACTTCTCTGACCTTGGAAGTCTCAACTGTAAAGAATAATAAAAGCTGCTATTCATTTACTGTTGGTTTATACCTATTTTAGTGATGAGAAAACGGAAGTATAGAGAAGTTAAGTAAAAGAGGATTATTGTAAATTATTGCCAAATTTAAATGAGATAACAGGTGTGGCATGCCAGGCCTACATAATAAGGTGACCAGTAAATAACAGCATTATTATGATCATTAACATTTTCCAGATATAAAATTAAATCATTATGTTATGGCTGAAATAAGATTCATTGGCGAAATATAGTGCTAAGTGCTGAGGAAACAGGAGGAAGTAAGACAGATATGGTCCCAGCCTTTAGAAAATTCTCCTTGGGGAAATGGAGACCATGACATATCCAACGTTTACAGTTCAGCTTGGGAAATGCTGTCCTGGGGCAAGAATAGGGTGCTTTAGGAATCAGGGAAAATTTCCCAGAAGAAATGCCCTTTAGGTTCATATCTGAAGAATGAATTGGAAGTGAAGGTGGACGGAAAGACAGAAGGAACAGTGATTATGAAAGCTGGAGGGGAAAAAGTGCATGCTGCATTTAAAGAAATGAAAGAAACTTTGTGTATAGGATTTTAGGATAAGTATGGAAAGTGAGCCTGGAGAGGTTGGCAAGTGCCATATTCTGAAAGGCTTTGTAAGTCCTGCTACAAGAGTTTGACCTTCCTTTTTAGGACATTGGAAAGCCTCTGAAAAGTTTTTAGTCACCACAGATGTGATTTTAAAATATCATTCTGGCTGAAGTGTGGGGAATAAAAACAAAAATAGCTTTAAAAATATAGGCTCACTTAATCCTTACACCAACACATGGAGGTTATTATTATCTTGATTTTACAGATGAAGAAATTGGGACTTGGAAAGCTTACTTTATTCACAAAATTCACACATTTGATAGGGAGTGGAGTCCACACACATGAATTTCTGACTCTAAACTTATATTGCTATATTGTCTTCAACTAGTAATGATTTATTGTGACCTGCTTTATGTTTACTCTGTGGAAAATTTTCATTCATTCTTATATTATTTGCATACTCCTGTGTTAGGTTACAAAGCATTTTACAGACATTATTTAATTTCCTTAAAAACTATGAGTAGGCAATGTTATCTCCATTTTACAGGTCTGAAAAGTGAAACTTGAAGTATGGGACCGTCCATGGTCCCATACACCCAGAAAGTGGTGGAGCTGGGACTTGAACACCATGCTCTTGACAGAGGAAAGCCTTTTTTGTGGGTGAACATGCCATACTTCTTTCTTGGGTCTTTGCTCTTTGTTTATGTGTGAATGTTTATAAGACTCTTTCCTTCTAGGTTTTGGAGATCATATTCATTGGAGGACACTAGAAGATGGAAAGAGAGAAGCAGCTGCCAGGTACAAGATACGGTTTTAGGTTATGTATGCTGGTACAACACTTTTCAGACTTCAATTTAGCATTAATTTCAGGTGAAGGTCATGCCAAAGCAGGGCAAGAACTGAGTATTGCCTGATAACAACAGTATTATCTAACATCTAACAAGTGCTTAGTATGCACCAGTCATTGAACTATGTGAATTAGTTTAATTCTCATAATAACTCTTTTGAGGTGGATACTGTTGTTACCTTCATTTTGGAGATAAGAAAACTAAGGCACAGAGCACTTAAATAACTTGTCCAAGATGACACAGCTAGTAAGTGGTGAAACCAAGATTCAGATACAGGCATTCTGGCTTCTGAGCCTGCACTCAACCAGTAAACCATACTGCCTACTAGGCTCAAATTGAGTAGTCTCAAGTTCCAAGTAGCTTTAGTCTATGCACAGGAAACTGATACAAAGGGGAAGAAAAAGGTGGAACAGGAGAGAAACATGCTTTGCATGCATTAATTTATTTAATTCTTATAACCTATGAGGTTGCTTCAGCCTGTGAAATAAGAACTGTTATACAGGAGAGGAAATTGAGATACAGAATGGTTAAATAACTTGACAATAGTTTACACAGTAGTAAGTGGCAGAGCCAAGATTCGAGTATTCTCTACTATATTGTCCTGGAGGGATACAGAGACCCAATGTGTATGTGCACCTACTTTATATGTACACACACTTGCACAGAAACACACTTCTGCAAACTATACTGTTTGCTTTTGCTAGAACAGATCCTACAGCTTCATGGTTCTGAGTCTCACACCTGCATGAGTAGATTTAGCAAATAAAAATAAAAGATGCCCAGTTAAATTTGAATTTCAGGTAAGCAGTCATTTTAAATATTCCTCCTTTAATGTCTGAAGACAACTTATATTAAAAACATTTTTTGTTGTTTATCTGAAATTCAAATTTAACTAGGCATCCTTTATTTTATCTGGCAACCTTACCTAGGAGAAAAATTCCTATTAGTTTTTCAAGCTCTAAATCAAATGACTATTTCTAGATAAAGTCTAGAGCTATTTTTCTGGGCAGTATTTTTTCCCTTTTCTGTTATAACCTAATCTTTTGTACATCCATCCACCATTCATTAATAGCATATATTATTCTGCTTATTGGTGCCTAACTCTTCCCATTCAGACCCTTTATCTCCTATGGGGGAACTGTTTTATGTTACTCTCCGAATCCCCAAACTTGGAGATGTTGAATGATTGAAATGGTTATTGAATAAACAGTTATTGAGAGTCACTGGGGATAAGGATGAAGGAAAACTAGCACTTGTGAATTGTTTTCTATATGCCAAATACAATTGGCAATATTTCTGGTGGTTTTAGCAATATTTAATGCACATTAAGGCCCCATTAGAGATGAATGGGTAACGCCTTTGATCGCAGGAAGATAACACTCTGGTGAGGCCTATAACACTTGACTAAGCAGGAGATGCCATTCCAGTCTCCACCTCCTCTCTTAGAGAACAGGAACTGGGTCTAGTAACTGTTTCCATAGAAACAAGAGGTCCTTTAAGGGTCAATGGGTGGCGGAAGTTCAGTTTTCACTTCCGGGTTTCGTCGCGCTCACCGACAACCCGGAAGTTGGCGCTCGAGGCTGCGCTTGGCCGCGCCCTGGGAGGATGCCGCTCGTGGTATTTTGCGGGCTGCCGTACTGCGGCAAGAGCAGACGCGCAGAGGAGCTCCGCCGGGTGCTGGCAGCTGAGGGCCGCGCGGTGTACGTGGTGGACGACGCGGCGGTGCTGGGCGTGGAGGATGCGACAGTGTACGGCGATTCGGCTCGTGAAAAGGCGTTGCGTGGGGCTCTACGCGCCGCGGTAGAGCGGCGCTTGAGTCGTCAAGATGTGGTCATCCTTGACTCGCTTAACTATATCAAGGGCTTCCGCTACGAGCTCTACTGCCTGGCGCGGGCAGCGCGCACCCCACTCTGCCTAATTTACTGCGTACGGCCGGGCAGTCTGAACAGGCGACCTCGAGTGGCAGACGCGGACAGTCGGAGCCAGAAAGTCACTGTGAGTTGGCGGCCGCGTGCTGAAGAGGGAGGAAGACCTTTGACAGCGGGCACCGGTTTCCTCAGGGAACCAGCAGCAGTGGACTCGGTAGTAAATGGAGGAGTTCAGGCAGAAGTATCTAAGGAATTAGAGTGGGAGGAAACCAGGGAGCCAGATCTTCCAGCTCTCGTGACTGCGGAATTTGAGAAACCTGCAAAACATACGTCTAGTGCCTTTTACTCTCCCGAACTTCTGGAGGCTCTAATGCTGCGTTTCGAGGCTCCCGACTCTCGAAACCGGTGGGACAGACCCCTGTTCACCTTGGTGGGCTTAGAGGAACCATTGCCCCTGGCAGCGATCCGGGCTGCCCTGTTTGAGAACCAGGCTCCTCCACCTCATCAGTCTACACAGTCCCAGCCCCTTGCCTCTGGCAGCTTTCTGCACCAGTTGGATCAGGTCACTGGCCAGGTGGTGGCAGGACTGATGGAAGCTCAGAAGAACGCGGTCCCAGGAGACTTGCTTAAGCTTCCTGGCACCACCGAGCACCTTCGGTTTACCCGGCCCTTGACCATGGCAGAACTGAGTCGCCTTCGACGCCAGTTTATTTCCTACACCAAAATGCATCCTAACAATGAGAACCTGCCTCAACTAGCCAACATGTTTCTGCAGTATCTGAGTCAGAGCCTGCACTAACCAGAGTGGGATGGGAGAACGCCGTGACTACTTGTCTAACCTCTGCTGCACAGTATTTCTTTGGGAAGAATAATCAAGGCCTGCAGAGCATATTGTTGTGTGGTACTAGAACTATTGTGACTGATTGACCCTTTGCATAATGCCTCTGTGTCAGGCCTTGAGTTTAGGACATCCTTTGAGACTAGAAAGAATGGAGAACAACTTGAAGGATCTTGGCAAATTTCTCCAGAGGACAGAGCTCAGATGGATCAGGCTGGCTTAGATTGGGTTCTACTTGTGATAACACACTCCTTTGATTTCCTCTCTCTGAATCGTCGGAGAACGGAATGTTTGGATTAATTGTTTTAAAACAATTGTGAACAGAAACTGAAGATGGCACAGCTCTGCGTCTGCAGTGGCCCTTCTTTCATACCACAAATAGTTTTTGAGTATTGTACCTAAACTTTTTGCTAGTCTCTGTTCAGGGGTATGGATTTAATGATAAATGGTTTCTGTCCTTGGGAAGCTTTGATTCTAGTGGAAGTGAATGACATAACCATTAAATTATTTCATCTAATAAAATCTTTTAGAAGAAGAGAGTTGACTACAATCTCTTGCACTTAATGTAGCAATGTTCTTCGTGTAATTTATTTTTAAAATTATTTATTTTTAATGTATGTATTGATTTTAGAGAAAAGAAACATCGATTGGTTGCCTCCTATACTCGCCCCAACCAAGAATTGAACATACAACCTAGGTATGTACCCTGACCGGGAATTGAACCCCTAACGTTTTGGTGTAGGGGATGATGCTCCAACCAGCTGAGCCACACCGGCCAGGGCTTCATGTAATTTATTTAATGTGACATTTTATTTTATTTATTTTTTAATCCTTGCCCCAGAATATGGTTTTTAGAGAGAGTAAGGGGGAGAGTGAGAGAGAGAGAAACATCAGTGTGAGAGAGAAGCATTGATCAGTTGTTTCCTGTATGCACCGCAACCAGGGCTTGCACCTGTAACCGAGGTATGTGACTGTGGTGGAACCCACATCCTTTTGGTGTGGGAGGCGATGCTCTAACCAGCTGAGCCACCCAGCCAGGGCTATTTAATGTAACATTTCAGATACACATACAGGTGGACAAAAGTAGGTTTACAGTTGTGAGTATGCAAAACAGTTATCATTGTATTATTTATTTGAATTACAACTGTAAACCTATTGTTGCCCGCCCCTATATATTACTGTTGTGCCTTAGGCTGAAATAGTATTTCGGTAGTGTTTAGTAAGAGATGAGTGATTATAATTTATATAACTTGTGCTTCATTCTGTATTTCAAGGCAAATGTAACTTTAAACTTGTCTTTCTTTTATTGATATCAGTAAACAAATGATAGATACCTGTCTTACCAGTGCTTATGATTTTCAAAGATGAGTTCAGTGGTCTTTGCCCTTGAGAAGTTAATTTGGTGGGAAATACAAATAAACAGATAACTATAGGATGTGAAGGGTTGGAAGTTAGAGGGTGATAACAGAATGCTTTGAGAGCCCAGAGGAGGAAAAAACTACCTAGCTGTTGAGAGAAGGTGGCTTTGCAAAGGCCTCACAGAAGGATTAATATATGAACTGTCACTCTAGAAAAAGGGTCAGCAAAGTGCCAGAAGGCTTTGTGGACCATAGCATCTTTGTTGCAGCTTACCAGCTTTGTCATTGTAACACAAAAGCAGTGATAGTACAAAGGTGTGAGTGTGTTTTAATAAAACTATGTACACTGAAATGTGAATTATATTTAACATACCACAAAGTACTATTCTTTAGACTTGTTTCAACCATTTAAAAATGAAAAACATTTGTATTGCATAGCTCTACAGAAGCAAACAGTGGGCTTGATTTGATCTGCTGATTGTAATTTGCTGATCTCTGTTTTAGAAGGCTTAATAGTAGTTTGCTTGGGAGAAAAGAGAAAGCAAAACATTCTGAACTTCTCTGTGAGTGCATGGAGCTGTTAAAAGGATGGGTTTCCTTGGTTGGTGATACATCTTTTGCTTATCCAGCAATGTGGACCACCTTTTGTTTCTGATACATGAGAGAGGATTCCTGTGTGAAATAGAGGTTTGGACTAAGAAATCTCTTAAGTCTTTTTCCAACTTTCATTCTCTGATTCTAAGTTAATTAATTATTGGTTAAGTTGGGTATAAGCCCATGAATTCTGGATTGCCATTTTAAGTTGAAGTAGATGATACTGGCCCGAAAACTCACTGGTTTTGAATTCAGACTTAAGAATTAGTAAATTGCAGAATCTAGATTTTATGTGGTGAAATATATAGGCTCTTGGGAATCCAGTTTTCTCATTTTTGTTATGAAACCATTAGTAATATCTATTTTAGGATTATTGTAAGGCTTCAAAGCACACAGCACAATGTTATATAATAAAAATAGCACATGTTGGCCATTATTACAGCACCTAGATCCCACTTCTTACCTAAGCTTGCCCCGCTCATTTGTTTTGTAAGCTTTTAGAGGTTTTAGAGGCAGAAATCCATCCGAGGTTTGTAGTAGGCTTCTGATGAGGAGCCGCATAATTCATTTGACATTTCTTAAATTGGATTATGTATATTTAGAATAGTGTCCAGTACATAGTAAATGTGATATACATGTTTGCTATAATACGATTTTATATGCCAGATGTAGGGGATGTAGAAACAGCTGAGTTCCTTAAGGCAGCTCCAAGTCTGGTGGGGTAAGAAGGGTAAATACAGTAAATACGAGTACTCCAGTAGTGTTGTACAGTGTATGATAGTATGCTGATATGGTGGCTGGATGAAGGCTGCTTACCTAGGACCCTCTTGCAAGTCGTCACTTGAACCTTAAGAACTTAAAAGAGTTTCAACTGACCCAGACTGGTTCAGATGGATTATGTGACTCATCCTAAAAAAGAAAAACATTTTCTCCTTCCTGATTATAAAAATTACACTTAATTGTTGAAAAATAGAAAGTATGGTAAAATCCGCAATCCCACTATCCAGGGATAACTGCTATTATGCTTTGGTACATTTCCTTCAGGTTCTTTTTTCTGTACATATTTGTATAATTAAAACCAAACTACACATAGTAATTTTATATTCTAGTTTATAATTTAACATCATACCTCTCTAGCTGGTCTGGCTCAGTGGATTGAGCACTGGCCTGTGAACCAAAGGGTCGTCAGTTCAAATTCCCAGTGTAGGGCACATGCCTGGGTTGCAGACCAGGTCCCCAGCAGGGGGTGCGCAAGATGCAACCACACATTGATGTTTCTCTCCCTCTCTCCCTCCTTTCCCCTCTCTAAAAATAAATAAAATCTTTTTAAAAAATTATACCAATGGAAATTTTTATTAACATTTTAATTTGATGTTTTCTTCTACAGTCTTTTCTCCCTAGGTTGATTTGTTGGGTTGTTTGTTTTCTTTTTTAAGATTTTAGTTATTTATTTTTACAGAGAGGGGAAGGGAAGGACAGAGAGAGAGAACCATTGATGTGTTAGAAAAACATTGATTGGTTGGCACTCCCCCAGTCAGGGAACAGGCCCACAATCCAGTCATGTGCCCTGACCAAGATTTGAACTGGCAACATTTCGAGTTTGCAGGACAATGCCTGAACCACTGAGCCACACCATTCAGGACTCTCTCTGACTTTAAAGCCCGAATTTGCAAGGTTGCAGGAATGTCAATTTATCAGTAATTTTGTTATAATAATGTTATTGAATAGGTTGTCTTAACATTCTCCCCTTTGAAAGCATACTACACGAATTCTTTGTACATTAATCTTCGTGGGTTGGTCATTTTTAATAGGATAGATACCAAGAAGTGGAATTGCTAGATTATGATTTCTTTATTCTGTTTTTAAGTGGATTGCCCTTGATGGTGATTATCCATAAGTCCTGGTGTGGAGCTTGCAAAGGTAAGTGAAAATGATCAAACATCAGATGTATTCTTAAATAGTAGCATTTAAAAAATATGAGCAGTGACTTTGGCCCAGTGACTGCTGATTGCTTTAAGGAGTACCAAAGAAATATATGACAGATTCCCTGCCCACAAGAAATTTGCGGTTATATTTGCAGGGGGTTGGAAGGTGAGGCAATTAAGTAAGAGTATGAGATTAAGTGCTACAGTAGTTCTGTGGACAGTAAATATCAGAGGAAACTGAAATGTACAGAGAGAGACATGAGAAGTTTAGAAAAGTCTTCCTGGAGGACTTGAGAAGCAAATTAGAACCAAGATTATCTCTGTAGCATGTTGTTCTGCTATACCACCCTGCCACTTTTCAGTCAGGCTTTCTGCTTTGGTTCATTGTGCTATACTTAATAAAGTTCTAGTTAGAAAAGGAGTATAAAATTAGTATAAATAATTCATGTAATAGTATATATACATTAGTGGTATTGTTACTTTATTTTTCAATAGAAGTTATTGAAATCTGTAAAAGAGCAAAATATAATTTTTTCTTTTGTATATCATTATCTATATTTTATAAGTGAAGTAAAAGCTTTAGAGAAATCAAGTCAATCACTCAAGGTCACATAGCGATGCAAGTAAGTGGCAGAAATGAGACCAGAATTCAAGTGTTCTGATTTAAGGGTTAGTTGTATGAATTAGCTCAGCAAATTAGAGTTTGGAATATAACAATGATGTTTTCTTCTATTACAAAATTTTTTTCCCCCTAGCTTTAAAGCCCAAATTTGCAGAATCTAAAGAAATTTCAGAACTTTCTCATAATTTTGTTATGGTAAATCTTGAGGTAAGACTTCTAGAATTTCTCCTTTCTGTTAAAATCTTGTCTTTACTGTTTTAGAATTACCATTATTAATGGTATAAAATATTTAGCAGAGTTGGCTGCTTGTATGTATGTATTTTAACATTTGACGCTTAGACTTGTGTCAGATATGGTAGAAAGCCATCAGCCTCTACTTGTGGAAGGAAGTAGGAGAGGTGGGATTAGATAAGATGACTGAATTTTAAGGTTTCTTCATTCTTAGTCTATGATTATGACATGTTTTTACATCTTTGTGTAGCTGATAAAAAGGTAAAATCACACAGGCAGGCCACAGTTTCCTGCAAAATGTGATTCAGTTGAAAACCTACTCTGTCCTAGGCTTATATGTATAGCCTTCTTGTTTCTTTATTAGATATCCTTCATGTACTTCACATAGATTAGAGGTCTTAGGTTCCCAAATCAGCATATCAGATCTTAGAGTTAGAAGGGCTTTTTAGGCCATTTATACAGTCCCCATTTTACAGAAAGAGCATCTTAAGCTTGAAGGAATTGACTTAGTAAAGATCACAGAGCCTATTAAGTGATAAGAATAGGACTGTGGCCTGGTTCTGCTGCTTTATACTCTTCAAATGTGGGATGCTTGGATGCGCTGTGATAATACTTCTAGACCTAAATTTCTGTAAAATAACATTTACTTAAACATAGTACTAGAAATTTTCTAAACACATTAACAGGTAAAAGTTGAGGCAGCTAAAGGATTATTTTTTATAACTGGTGGGTAGCCTGAATGCTAATACACCTCACTCAAGGCAAAGTTATATTATCTGAAGAAAGAGCTCCATTCAATTTCTAAAATGGGGACCACTC